TCAGCGTTTCTCAACCTTTCAGTATTCGCGGCCCAGTTTTCAATCATAATTTTCATCGCGCCCCCCACTTACAGTAAAATGTATACAACAATAATGTATATTGAGTATTCTGAATTCTGTCTTTAAATTATTTCTAACTGCCAAAATAAAAGTAAAGTAAAAGCCAGCAGCAATTGAGATTGTAGAAACTGTGTTTGGAGTTAATTTTTCAAAACAATTGCAGTCCATACCTCTTTCAAATGATACTGTTGCTTGTAGAATTGGTGATACTGTTTCTTGTCGAATTGGTGATACAGCTGAAAATGTAGTGCCAGCTTTACGTGACAAAATGTTTTTAATACAGTTTGATGAAGCAACAGATATTAATAAAGATGTTCATTTAATTGCCTATGTTTGATTTTGTGATAATATGTCAGTAGTAGAACTACTTTTCTGCAAATCAATAGAATTCAAAACAACAGCGCTAGCATTATTTGCTATTTTAAATGATGTTATGAATGAGGCAAACATAAGAACGCAAAAATTGCATCGGAATATGCACCGATGGTGATCGTCCAATATCCCGAAGGTTCGAAAGTATACAAGCACTTGTATAACAAAAATCGCCTCAATGAGTCTGGACACATAGCATGATCCACAGAGAAGCTTTGGCTTCGAAAGAAATGCGTCCTGGTTTAAATATTGTGTTGTTGTAACCGCTGCAAATTATATAAAAATGAGATCGAGAATCCTTTCCGCTCTTTGTAATGACATGGGTTCAGTACATTCAGAGTTATTATTTAAATGCGAGGCAAGATGTTTATCGCGTGAGAAATTTTTGCAACGCGTTTATGAATTAAGAGAAGAAATCTCCATTTTCTTAGAAAAAGATAACAGACCGGAAGCCGAGAATTTTCACTATTGTTTATTCGTGATGAAATTGAGCTACTTGGTCGTCATATTCGAGAAATTACATAACTTGAATCTTCAACTCCAAGTAGCAAATACACATATGTTGGATACGAGTGATAACGTTATTGCTTTTTGTAGAAAATTGGAATTGGGTATAATATGAAAAAAACAAAACTACGTCCACTTCGAAAATTTTACTAGGAATAACATTTACCATTTAGTTTAATTAATAAGCTGAGTTTTAAATATGTTTACTAAATTCATAAACTTAGATAAAACAACAAAATAAATTATTTCAAAAGGAACTAGACTAATACAATTCCAACCTGCCGAGTAGCGACTTATAACAACACACTTCATTTAATGTTTACTTGTTGCTAGAAATCAGGTTCGCAGAAAATGCTGTTTACTAGTTAAATTTAGTAGGAATAACACGACCTGTGACGTAGGCTATAGTATACCCAATTGTGGAGCAGAAATTTAAAGCAAGAAAACTTAACAATGTTTGCAAATGTGAATAATTGTACTAAAATTTATAAGGCTGAAGAAAAACGCGTAAAAGTTATTTTTGTAACCACTGAAAATCATTTAGCCATGCTGACAAAGAATTTCAAAAAGTATTTTCCAGCTGACGACAAACTGATAGCAAGTTACGAATGGGTTAGGAATCCATTTCATAAGACTCCCGAAGGACTCTCAATTGATGAGGAAGAAAAATTCATAGACTTCACGACAAGTGGCGAAACCAAAATACAATTTAGTAATAAATCACTATTTGAATTTTGGGCAGGAGGATGATTTTTCTGCACTGAAAACAAAGGCATTTCGCATTCTAATACCATTTTCAGTATCCTACCTTTGTGAAACTGGAATTTCTGCTGTGGCTTCTTTGAAGACAAAATATAGATCACGGCTAAATATAGAAACAGAACTGAGAGTGGCTATTTCTAATATTAAGTCTTACCTTATAAAACTTTGCTCTGCAAGAGAGGCCCAAAGAAGTCACTAAAAATTATTAGCATATTATTTCTCAAAAAGGAATGATTGAATTGAGTGCCAATTGATTTATTTCATTTTAAGCAAATGTGGAACTAAGGTATTTTTTAAATTTTCATAATATTTTGACGTTCTCTGCACTTTGGTGGAGTTTGCGATATTTCGTTTCAAGTTTTTTGTTTTGTTTACATTTTAAAGTAATTTTTCAGGTATTTTTTATTTTTGTGGTAGTTACGTGTGTTTTTGTGGTCGATTCTGGTATTTTCTTGTAAATTTGGGTATTTTTATACTAGTTATGGGTTAGGTTAGTTAACTCTAGTATGGTTATTTAACTCTTACTTGTTAGTTAATCCTTTTGAAAAAATTAACTCAGTAATTCTTGATTAATTCTAATGAGCTGACTCAAAAGATTCGCTAGTGACGTCACACAAGAGCTATCAATGTAAAATCAATAAACAAATTATACACTCTAAAAACATATATCTTTTTTAAAGTCGGGTGACTTGTTCCTACCAGCAAAAGACACTTAAAGTGCCTTTTTGCCAGTCCAAGTGTTTTTTCTAAAGATAATTTGAGTAAGTGAAAAAGTGATTTCGAAATATGGCTCACCTTTGGAACCTGTAGAAAACCTTAGGCGCAGAAGCTACAATTTTGAAATTGTACTATAAAATAAATGAAATTTTATTTTACAATTAAAAGTATACGTGGTATATATTAGATATAGGTGTAAGATGTTACAGAAAAAAATTCAGCCACACAGACACTTAATCAGAAAATTAGAAAAAATCCTCAAAGCCAAGCCGCCCTTGGCTCCCCACATAAAGTTTTGATTTAATGAGTTGTTTCCTTTTAAAAAGTTATTAAATACGTTGAAATGTATTTTGTTTGCTATGTGTATGTGCGTTTTCCTTTCATCCAGTTAACAAATTTTTTAAAATAATATTTTCTCTTGAATATTCTCGCGCCACCCCTCTAGTGTGCTCGCGCCCCCCTAGGGGGACGCTCCCCACTGGTTGAGAATCACTGTCTTAGGCCAAATATTAAATTAAAGTAAAGTTATATGCTATAAAAAGGCGAATTTGTCATTATCCTGGCTGTCATTTTCCTGACTTATGAATTCCAGGACATTGAAGTGTTACCAAAATTTTTTTTCAACTGCTAATACTGTGAGGATGAAAAGCAAAGATTAACATAATACCAAGTTTATGTATGATTGTAATATGGTTGGATGTAATCAAAGTTATTTATTTATTTAATGAATTACACACAATTTTATTCTGTACATATCAGCAACAAAAAAAAATTTGATTCTTTCTACAATGGATAAAAAAAATTAATTTAAGCAATTTATGGTCCATCTAACATAAAGGATTAAGTTGAGTTACTTACTATTAACTTAAAATGACTGTTTTTTAAACTTCTAAGCTTTCTGTCATTTTCCTGGCATTCAAGATTTGGTGAATTTCTATTTTATTTTTTTTCTCGAGTAAATGTCAATAAACTACGCTGCTGTCTGTAAGATATTAATAAATGTAACTAAAGAAGTATACAAAAAAAAATTTTAGATTATTTTGAAGACTTTAAATTTAAAGAAATTTTTTGCTCCGAATTGTCATGTTTAAAAACAATCACCCACATATTGCGCATAAGCTGCAAGTAAATAGAACTCATAAAATAAGTTCAAAATAAAGATAAAACAAAGGAAAATTACAGACATATGAAAAAAGGTGGAAAAAGAAAAATAATAATAAAATAAAAAAAACAACTGGGGGATAAAAATATAAATAATCCGATAAAAAGGATAAATTTTTTTAAGAAATCCGGAAAATAAAAGATATAATCTTTTCATCATCCCACACTATTATATCCGCAAAAAAGAATGCTTTCTAATATTGTATCAATATAGCCAAAGCAAAATACATCAATACAATAGTGTGAGGAGCACTCAAAAATTTTTTACAAAAATTTCAACAAAAAATAGAACACAATAAGTAAAAATAACACGTAGAAACGGAAAATAAAATATAAAGAAAAAACAGAATAAAACACAAAACATAATCTATAAAGCGAGTAGTGAATTCAAATGAACTTACATGAACGGGAAATTTTTCAAGAATGATTTAAAATATTTTCGTAACAAGATTGCCAGATTGCAAAATATGTAAACAAAAGAGCAAATTGAGCATAACTAGAGGAGTTTTGTTTCAAAGTGCGTTCTTACTGCATTACTGAAGTGCGTTTGATTTGTTAGTTACCTAGGATGGGCTCGAAAATGGATGTGCACAAGGTAATATTATACTGGATAATTTAAAGAAGTTGACTACAAACAATTTTCGAAAATAAATATTCATTTAAGAAAAAAATATAAAATAGAAAAGAGAAAGAAACACGAATTGCCTTTTTTGCACATAATTTTAGCCACGGATTTGCCCGAAATGGATTTGCTCATGGAAAAATTAAATCAATTAACAAAGAAATCCTTTTAGTAAATAATTTTAGCCACGGATTTGCCCGAGATGGATTTGCGCATGGAAAAATTATATAAATTAACAAAGGAATTTTTTAGTAAAGGAATTTTTTAATAAATAATTTTGACCACGGATTTGCCCGAAATGGATTTGCACATGGAAAAATTATACAAGTTAACAAAGAAATATTTTTAGTAAATAATTTTGGCCACGGATTTACTCGGAATGGATTTGCACATGGGACAATTTTATAAATTTGCAAAGAAAATTTTTAGTAAATATATCCACAATAATATACGATTAACTCAATGATTTTATATAGAATTTTATTACTTTAGTTGGGTATCCATTGTTTTTTATCAAGCTTTGAAAGAGTTTATCGATTTTTTTTTGGATAAATAAATATTACTACATATTCTTTTAATTCTATTCATTTCATTAAGAGTTGTATTTAAATAGATGCTCCTAGAAACATTAGAATTCCACGTAATTAGTTTATTTACAGTTACCTGTATATTAAAATTAAAATTATTTCTTTTATCGTATAAATCAACTGAGCAGATATTTTCTTCTTTTATAATACCCAAATCCAAAAAATTGAAATTAATATTATCATCATGATTACGAAGCAAGATTAATTCCTCAGGGTAAATATCATTTAATAAAATAGTATAATCTTGAAAATTAAAGATAACTAAGTCATCAATATATCTAAAAACAAATTTAATACCAAGAGTATATTTTTTTTTCATAATAGTGTAAAAATAAGTTAGCTAAGTGAGATGAATAATTAGATCCTTGTGGTGTTCCATCAAATTGAAGAAAAATATCCTTTCCATTGTAAAGAAAATTATTAAAAAGACAAAAATTAATCAGAATTTCCCAATAATCAAAATCGCAACAAAGGAAATTCTTAAAATCATAGAAATAATTCAAAAGGACATCTTTTTGTTTAGAAAGGGGAATGCTATTGAAAAGATCCAGGAAATCAAAAGTCGCAATAGAATTAATTTTATTATGTTTAATGAATTTTAAAATCGGTTGATTATTAGTGAGAATCCAAGAGAAACCTTCTTTAGAAATATTGTTAATAATTTTATTTAAGTAGTTAGAGAAAATGGTACCAGGTTTGGTTAGATAAGTATTAGATCCGCGTGTGATAGTTCAAAATTTTACAGGAATTTTATGAAATTTAGGACTGATAATTAAGTAAGGAAATTTTATATTGATAATTTTAATTTTTTATATCTTATATAAAGCTAAAAAATTTTAATGACAATATTATTATTAAAATTACTAAGTTTAAAATCTTTACTAATTTTTATTTCCGTATTTAAAAGTTCAACATAGAATTTTTTACAGAAGATTGCATAATTATTGTTAGCTTTGTTTATGGGAGTAATTACAAAATTTTTTTGAAGTTGCTTAATTGATTGAACAATATTAGAAACAATTTGTTGGATTGTTACTGTTATTTAAATTATCCTTATTATTTACTGTTATAAGAAAAGTTAATAATAAGATCGAAGAGCTTATATACATCATAATTCTTAAGGGAGAAAACAAAATCTTTAATTGGTTTAATATTATAATGTTTATTAAAATCTTTTTCCATATTAGAAAGAAAATTTGTATTTAATTTGTCACTATTAAGAGAGTTTCTATTATTTCCTGATCCCCGTTTACCTCGATTTGTACGCTTATCTTTAATATGTAAAAGTGAATAAGTTGAGGAGTTATTAAAGTTAATCTGTGTATGATGGAAGGTATCGTTTAGCCCTTACGGCAAAATTGTTTTGTATAAAAGCATGTAGTCATTTTCTTTTTGTAGTCTTAAATCTAAATCTTCTACAATATCTAAAATATTAATTTTGACACTGTTAAATTTATGTTCTCTAAAATGATTCAATTCCAGGTTATTGATAGTTTTATTACTGTTTATATCAGAGCGGTGTTGATTAATTCGAATGTTAAGTGCGTTACTGGTTTGTCCAACATATTTCATATTACAAAAACCACAGGTTAACATATAAATAACACTAGTGAGCTGCGCCCCCTGCTCGCTAACGCTCGCCAACCCCCGAAAATTGCTACGCAATCTTATATGGTTTGCTTCGCAAACAAAGCTCGCTTCTCTCGCTACTAACTTAGGTACATTGCAAATGCACAAAATTCTAAAAATTCGAAACAATCATTCAAATCCATATAACAACTTTTTTTTGAAAAAAAATTACATCTTTTGAGTAATACTAAGTGATTAAAATAAATTTGAATTCAAATAAATGACATGTAATTCGTTAAATGAGCTATAGTATAAAATCTTAAAGCGTAACAGCACGACTACGACTCATTTTTCAATGAATAACTAATAACAATAATAAAAAAATAAATTCCTGATATAAATCAAAAATCGTCAAATAAATTCGTAATATGTAAATTCGTGAAAAAAGCGCTCTAGACAAAATACTAAAATATAGATCTATCGACTAAGACTACTCTCTGCTGCCTAACTTAATAGTATGAGATTGCCGCAGCTGATACTGCTCTCTCTGGTTATTTCAATTTCCGATTTTAAAAGCGCTATATGTTGAGCCATCTCAACTAGATTTGGCATGTGACATTTTTAGCAGCAATCATTGGTCGATTTCCTAGAGTTGCCATTCGGGGGGTTGTAATGAGGCTTTTTTTTGTCGCCGTGTAAGAGAAATATATATATGGATTTTTAATTTTATAAAAAGATTTGGAGCTATCGTTATAAATTTATGTTTTTAGTCAATATTAGGGCAAGTTTTGCATTTTTTATCACCACACGCTTTTTAGGACGGTAAAGTATCTGGAATAGAATGCAATTCAAAAAATCTTTTGCTTTCAGAGTAGCAGGATGTCGATTCGAAGTTCCCCTCTGATTTAAACTCTTCCTACCGGGTACAACATGAGGAATAATTTAAATATTGAACACATTTCTTACCAGGTGCTAAATTGTTATAATTGTTTAAATCCATTAAAATAGGCTCACAGAGCAACATCCTAAAGACAGGAAATTAGAAAAAGGAAATCAAAACGAAAACAGAAGGAAAACGAACGAAAGTTGATAGTAGATAATATAAAGCGCTAAAGCTGCATTAAATATGATCACTAATTCACAGCAAAATAAATAAATAAAAAAAAAAAACACGAAGAAAATTAAGAAAAACAAAAAGTTTCATTTATCGTGCACAAGCTGCAAGTAAATAGAACTCATAAAATAAGTTCAAAATGAAGCTAAAACAAAGGAAAATTACAGACACATGAAAAAAGGGGAAAAAGAATAATAATAATAATAAATAAAAAAAAAACAGCTGGGGGATAAAAATAAAAAAAATCCGGAAAATAAAAGATATAATCTTTTCATCAGTCCACCGCAAAAAAGAGTGCTTTCTAATATTGTATCAGTATAGCCAAAGCAAAATATATCAATACAATAGTGTGAAGAGCACTCAAATACAATATTAGAAAGCACTCTTTTTTGCGGATATAATCGTGTGGGCTTATAAAAAGATTATATCTTTTATTTCCGGATTTTTAAAAAAAATTTATCCTCTTTTTTTCGGATTTTTTTAACTTTTATCTCCCAGTTGTTTGCTATTTTTTATTTTATCATTATTTTTTTTCTTTTTTCCCCTTTTTTATGTGTCTTTAATTTTCCTTTGTTTTTTCATCATTTTGAACTTATAAATATATATATATATATATATGTGTGTGTGTGTGTAATTAATAGTACTATTAAAAATTACAAAGCAATTTTTAGCTGTAGAGCAGGAAAAAATGCAATAGAATTTTACAGTCTTTTGTTAAATCAAATTCTAAAAAACTTGTTCTTTCTTCTCAGGAATTGGCATCGCTTTCACGAGCACACTCGGCCAGATAATCTTGGATGAGTATTTCGAGAAATATCTTTCTTCTGCATCAGGATTGTCATTTGCGGGTGGCAGTTTAGGAACTTTCGTATTCTCCTTTGTGCTTCAGAAATCGATAGATCTGTATGGTCTGAGTAACACCTTCGTCTTCATGGGTGTCATGACATTATTCGTGGTGCCTTTAGCCTTCACCCTTGTCAAACCTCCACCCTGGGTGACACAAGAAGAGGGACGAGGAGAAAGAAGTTTCATTAAAGGCAGATTCTTTGTTGTAGATTCATTTTGGCCCACTTTGGGTCACCTTAAGAAGAAGAAGCCTGTGGAACAGACAGAAAGTTCCGTCGTTATTTCAGATAAACAATCTTCTGGGACGAAGAGCACACATAATACGACCATTGAGGTGGAATCAGAAAAGAGTGAAAATAACGTTGCCACTATGAGCATAGAAAAGACTGGCAGCCCAACGACATTCAAAATTTTTTCAAAAAATAACACCTCAATGGCTGAAAAAGATTTTCAAAATGCGGCGGAAGAAGACGCAAAAATAACGGTAGAGGGACAAAGATCAGACATTGATTCAAAGGATGGTTCGAATGAAACTTTGTGTTCTAATGTGTCAGGAAGTAGCATCTACCACCAAGCTTCTGATGGTTCATTCTTAAGCGGTGAGAAAACTGGAGAAATAACTGCTGATGATACCCGATGCTCGTCAAATCAATCGTTCACTGACAGGGCATCGAGAGAAATGTTTGAAGCTGAAAAGTTTATCGAAGAAGACACCAGCTCGGCAGTTTCAAGACTTGAGCGCAAATTGGATGATGATGCTTCTCCCACCATTGAAAAGCAGCCATTTATAATTGAAAAGTATGTACTGAAAAAAGTAAAGCCACTCGAACCCGCTACAGTATTCACACCTCACAAAGATGGCGTTTTGAAGCAAACAGAGGCTATTCAGAATATGGATGAAAGTCAAGAAAAATGGGCCAAGGGGGTGACTCAGAAAAAGGAGGATATTGAAAAACTCCACCGAGAAGAGCAAAATTCTGAAGGCGAGTTAACTTTCAGAAGTCGATCGCCGATGCCATCACCTGAAGCCGTCAAGGAGTTTGCGGTGAAAAAGTTTCTTAAAAAGAAGATTGAATCTGCTGAATTTAATTCACCATTTGTCTCGTCTGAGGCATCTAACCCAAACTTCGAGGAGAATAAAGGGGCTAAACCAAAAATACCCTCGGCTAAAAGATCTCTTGGAGGAAACAAAAAGAAACATCGTAAGGGCAAGGGTTCACAGAAGTACACTCGGTCAATAACTCAAAATCCTTCTTTTGATGTCGAGTGTGGAGAACCTTTTACTCAACCAAAGCAGCAAACGAGGATATTGGACAGTGGATTGGCGGGCATTGAAGAGCCCCTCTCTAGAGAGGATGATAGAATCCGTAATGTATTAGAAACGAACGACGATGAGAATTTTCCTTCCTCCTCCAAAACCGATAGCCTGTTCTTTCCTTACGTCCAAAGCTTCGACATCAATTTCATACGTCGTCACATTCACGATGTTATTTTAGTGTTGAACATAAAATGCGTAGTTGCGTCTGATAGCGCATTAAAGCACGATTACGGAAGCATAATAGGATCCAAAGATGGGAAGTTCTTAGAAGAGATGGAAGAGTTGTTGGTTTCGATCGAGCGAGAGATCGGAAGTTTCGATAGCGAGGACCGAAACACTTTTAGGAGGAAATCGAGCCTATACCCGCGCTTACGGGACATATTTAAAAAAAGCGACCGTTACATAGTGTCTCATTTTGAGGACGAAAGAAGAGAACATTTTGGAAAACTTGTTTGTGAACTGAGAGGGTTGTACGATTACGTGAAGGAGCCTCTTACTCTCAGTAGCCAGCAAATATCGTTGCAGCCAGAGGAGTCATCCTCATGCTGGCCACCTTTTATACATCAAGTCATTTTCAAATTATATCTCAATCCGGCATTTTTGATCATTTGTCTCTGCAGGGCTGTCCACCTCATGACTTTTATGGGGGTCCTCACTTTCATTGTGGATTTTGCAATGGACAGGGGTCTGAAAGAAAGTGATGCGAGATATTCGGTCACTATGATGTCCTTGGGTGATTTGCTGGGTCGACTGTGCACTGGTTGGATCACCGACACCAGGCTCATTAGCTTAGAGAAATATATGCTATTGGCCATGGGGCTAATTGGTGTCATTTCCGTGTGCTTTCCCTACCTGCCAGCCAATACTTTACTGCCCTTTATTTGCATCTACAGTTTATTACAAGGATCAGTATTCATAAGGCATCCAGTGTTGGTCTCAAAATATACAAGCTCTGAAGAACGCACTGTTGGAATGGGTTTCATGACATTGTTTTCTGGATTGCTCGGCTTTCTGATGCCTTTCTATATAGGTTGGTATTAAGTCTTTCTCCAAATAACTTTAGTGGCATTTTCTAATATTAACTTGTGCCAATTTACGCAAACCAGATTCTTTTTTCTAAAGAATCATCCTTCTTCTGTCAGTCATTTTAAAGCATGTCATTGGATATATATGTCACTGATATCTAAGGCGTCCTAAAATTTGTTAGATCCATAAAATATTTAGACTATTTTGCCGAGCGTGTGATAAATTGCTTTAGAAAGAAAAAACATTTTTTTGACATAATTCAGATTATTTGATAATTTTTTTCACCTTTTTTGGGATTATTTCGATCACAGTCGAATTTTTTTATTGCACTAGAAATTCATTCAGTGACCTCAAATTCCCTCACCGAAAACAGAACACTGAAATATCTGGCAAAATAAAATAACTAAAAAAAGAATTAATTATTTTCTGGCTGTTTCAAAATGACAAGGTTCCCAACTGAGCATTTTAAGCGCGAATTCACTGGTTTTTCGATTTTTTTTGCCTTATTACCTAAACAATAAAACTTAATAACAATGTCTGACTCCCACTCTATCGAATAAGACTTTCTAGAAATATCTGAGGAGCAGTCATTAACACACTTGTTAAAACTTCTACAGAGCCAATTTTTACTTTGTTTCAAGTTGTTAACATCGCGCCATAGTTATACTAATAGTATATCGGCGACGATTAGGATTCATTCATGTGAGGAACCGAAGATAATACTGAAGTGTACCACACGTTACACCACCGCAATTTAGGTTGAAAGGCAAGTAGCGCTAGAAATCAGTTGGTATCTGCAATACGCTTCCCAATCGCTCTACCGTAAATGGTTGGAAGATAGGTACTTTGCTTACGTTTCACCCAATGGTCTATTCGCGACAGTCTGGAAAACATCCCGGAGGATGATCCGAAGACACGCCATCACCCTTTTGATCTTCTGCAAAGGGGATGGCACCCCTGCTTCGGTAGCCCATCGACCTGTGCGTGAAGTCGTACACTTCACGGTGAGACAGTTTAACGAGGACCGGTACCGCGCACCCTTGGTCCCTACGCAGGCTGATCAAAGTGGTCACCTACCAGCTTACTGACCGCAACCATTGATGCTTGACTTCATTGATCTGCTGGGAACCGTGTCTTAATCAGTCCACTGCGGGACTTATTTTTAAAGGTTGTCGTAAAAAATGGTTACGTTGTGTCTTTCTTTTTTTCCAGGTCATTACCGAGATGAGATAGGAACCTACAATCACATATTTTTCATCAATGGTGGAATATGCTTAGGAATAGGACTCTTATGGATGCTAGAATCGTGGCTAAAGAAATATGCTGTCTAGAAACTAAAAACAAAATTATTCTCAAAAGTCTTTTTTGGATTGAATTATTTCACGAAATGATATCTTATGGATGGTTGACCGAAGACTTCCGACTCATCTTTACGCTTGAAAAAAAGTGCTCCATCCAATATTTTCATACCTGTCATGTTTGCAACTCTTTCGATTTTAATTTCAACGAAACAAACAAGATATGAATTTGGAAGACTCCACAAGCATACTATGCCATCTAAAGGCCTGGTTTCTTAGGACAGGACGCCGTCAGCTGGAAATCAGCGTTAACCTCTGATTGGTCTATTTGTGAGTTTGATAGTATACGTCATGGAACGCACATCTTGAACTACAATTGCCGTCCAACTCAACTGCAGTTGGATTACAATGTGACGTTAACCACAGAAGCAATGGCGGACAACATCCTGTTTCACATTGAAATCAGCCAAGATTTTGACATTAAACATAGCTTCTTCATTAAACATAGCACTCTTCATTTAGCTCAGCTATAATGTGTTTTTTCTTGGACAAAGTCATTATTTGTTCTCTAAAACACTGGTCGACAATAACAAAATCAATACAAATTCAAAATAAATATTTGTTTACGTTATTAACGCATGCGCAATGAGAGATAATGTCTGCGTTGGACCGACTGCTCACGCTGAGCTAACAAAAAAGTATTTTTTTGGCGTCAGCTCTACGTCAACCTTCCGCTGACGTCCAGATAAGGCGCTAGTTCTAAGAAACCAGGCCTTGAGCTAACAAATCAATATTTTGTTGGCGTCAGCGGGCCGTTGACGCCCAGATAAGGCGCTTGTCCTAAGAAACCAGACCTTAAGATGCAACCCAAAAAATAAGTAAAGGTGATATTTTACACAAGTATCGCCAAATAAGAGATAACATGGCAAACCTTTCACTTTATTTATTAATTTTCTGAAATTTGATTCAAGCTCACAAACAGTTAGAATTTATAAATTACAAAAAAAAAACCTCTTATGATTGGTAAAATGACGCTTAAATCTAAACATAAATCCCATTCACAAAACTTCGCAAACATAACAGCACCTTCCCGTTTTAGAAAGCTTGTTATTGTTTACATTCAGTCAACCATCCACAGAAGTTTAGTTTGTCTAAACTAAGAATTCCCCCATTCGTCTGAACCCGTGACGGAGACTATGGTAACAGTGTTAGTCCTAGAGTGAAGAGAACCTACCCTCCCACAACTGGGCTAATCTTGTTTCCACAGCAGCCTCAGACTTTATGGGGGGAGTTCCTACCGTAGACAAACTATAGACAGTGCACACGACACAAAAATCTAGTCTGAATAAACAACCTTTTTCTTATTGGAATGTGTGAAAAGTATGTTCATTAATAAATGTGAAAATTTTACAAACAAACTCATGGCAGAACCGCTTTAAATCAGTCATTTTACATAAATGATGCGAAGTTTTTCCCTTGGTTTTTACGGGAATTTTTATAAAACTTTCATCAGAACTTAAAATGACCACCTGACTATTTTAACTATTTATAAGTAGTAGTTATTTCTTTTTAATCTAAGCCATTAAGGTATTTATCCTGTCAGAAAGAATTGAGTACTCGCACTTCAAGAAGAAAAAGAGCAAATATACCCACACATATGTTCTATGATTTCAGTTCCAGCTGAACGTTTATTTTTGTTATAACCATCGTTGAACAGCCGACCTAATTTTTGGGTTTATGACTTCTATTGTTCAACTCTGTAGCCATCTAATTTTGAACCCAACCCATAAGACAAGGAAACTACTGGATCAGGTATTGGGAGAAATTTGCCTTCTTGGAGGAATTTTTGATGGAACTAACTCCCATTTGCGTTACATGAAGAGAAAGACCACGAGAACCTCCCACGGTTAGCTTGACGGCAAAGGGACTCTTAACCCATGATCCGTCTGCCACTGAGGATATTTCAAGTTAACACTGTGGTCGGTGCAAGTCGGATGTGGATTCGTATCGACCAGCCATCGCCGAGATTCGAACCTGGTTTACCTCATTAGAAGGCGAACCCTCTATCCCCTAAGCCATCACCAGGGGCGGATTCAGAAATTTTTCTTCGGGGTGGGGGGGAACGTTTACGTGGCTTATATATAATGTGACAGAATTGAAATCTTCGTGCAAGAATATAATATGTGCCACTTAAGAGAATTGATACTTGACGAGTTTGGCTTATGCTTTTCACTTTACTTATTTCTATCGGGTTTATTTTTACACTGAAGATCAATTCAGCTATAGTCAAACTCGGTTATAGCAAACTTTCAAGGGACCGAAATTTCGGTTCACAGCAACCGGTAGTTTACTTTATCCGTAATGCAAACAGTTTCAACACATTCTTCCGAACTGCTTCCTTTTATGACACATTATTTAAATAAATGACCCATAAAACGAAATACAAAAACGATTTAAAAAACTATATGTAGTCACAAAAAATGGGTTAACGATAATTTTTTATTGCTCTAAGTCATGCGTACAAAAAATTGAGGGATGGTCTTTATTTAGGGAGAGGAAATTCAGATAGAAGAAGCAAACGAAGAAAAAAATGCTTATAACTGCATTGCACTCAAAAGATGGTTTTAAAAATCGGCATATTTATTTTCAGTAGAAATTTCAACATTACCAAAAAAAAAAAAAAAAAAAAAAAAAAAAAAAAAAAAAAAAAAAAAAAAAAAAAAAAAAAAAAAAAANCTCAAAAAAAAAAGAAAAAAAAAAATGAAGAAAAAAATATTAGTCGAAGACAGAAAAAAGTTCATACTATCCAATTTCTTCTCTTCTTTTGATTCACCCTATCCACAAAAAATAATATTACAGTAGGAAACCGATTATCCGGAACGATCGCTATTCCGGATAACTGATTTTTCCGGTTTTCTGAATTGCTACAAAAAGTCGTTTTTTTTATTGTTAAACCCAACTAAAAAAAAAAATTTGGAAATAATCTTGAAAAAAAGAAGTAATACACTAATGATTATTTCCAAAATGATGCCAGGGTAAACATCTTTCAAAAAAGAAAGTAAAATCCTAAAATCTTATGAGGAAAAAAGATTTTTTTTAAAAAAAATAGTGGGAAAATTTATCGAATTTCGTTCCGGTTTTCTGATTTCCGGATAACGGGTTCTCTACTGTATATGTGTATAGCAAGGCACGGAAGCGAACATTTCCTTCATTCTATCCGACAGTTCACTATAAACCATGTTCAGTAAAGCGGGGTTCGACTGTACTAGTGAATACATATATCGTTTTCTTTAAAAAAAAACTATACTCAAATAAGAAATGACTAGTGAAAGGGGTAAGTAACAAAAAAATATATTATATGAACATGATGACTACAAGACAGGGAATGACACTACACNACTGTTACAATTGACCCCGTAAGTGGGGACAATTGTAACAAGTGCACGACTGTCGAAAATTGTTAATTACTAATATAATAACATTTAAAATAAGGTATTTATTTTTTTTTCTAGTAGAGAATAGTATACTTTACTCGTCTGTCAATTAATACTGATAATATATTGGATTTTTTGTTAGTTAAAAATAGTTAAGTAAAAATGTTACAATTGATCCCACTCTCCCCTAGTGAAAGGGGTAAGTAACAAAAAAATATATTATATGAACATGATGACTACAAGACAGGGAATGACACTACACTACAAAGAAAGCATAGATGTTCTTTTCACAAGCATCTTTTCTGATGGTTACGGTTACACATTTTATTCATAAGTTCCATGAGACCCTCTAGTGGTGGCTTCCGATTTTTCCACAGCTTACTCGAAGTAGAATGAAAAGAATAGTTGCTAACGTAAGCAAATGCTACGTAACAACAACAACAACCCATCATGATCGAGATACCCTCACAACGTCACTTTCAGGCCCATAAGCAGAATATTTTCAAATGTTCAGCAACAGGACTTATTAATTTATACAAATGTTCTGCAAGCATTTCACAGCGGAAAAAAGTCAACTTTACGTTAAAATACTATATTTTCATTTATTAAAGTACAGGATCATACACAGAAACACTACATTATTTTTTAAACCAAGGCAAACATTCTAGATTTGTTACTTTTTCAATCACTTTTGAAGTACTAAGTTTTGTTAATGACGATTATGAATTATTAATAAAATGCCTATGATATGAAGGTCCGAACATTAAAATAAGGGCTGTTTTAAAAATCTTTCGAAGGAAAACGTTGTCACTTATTCAATATGCAAATTGTTCTGCAGGACTATGTTTGCTCTGCGACGTACGTCACAGTTTTAGGCACTTTCTGCTTCTGGGCTTTCAGGTATCTCATTTCGTTGGAGAGTGGGTGCTGCGAAGAGATTGAAAAAATGAACAACAGAGAAAATGTTATAAAAAAAAAGCTCTTTAAGTTGTGTTCTTATTAAGAACACATATTCCATTCCCTAATCAATTTTTTATTGGTTACTCTTCCCGGTGGTTTTAAGCTATTAGATAAGACAAAATATGTTCCCATCAAAATAAAAATTATCTTTCAGTGTCATGGTTCTATTGTGTATGGATAGTCAAAAACCACCCTAATCAGCACTTTCCTCTGGTACTCATCCCTTTTGGTGGTCCTATTCAACACCTAGAAACCAATGTCAACAGTACCTATAGTGGGTACTTCAGTACCAATATTAGTATATTTAGAATCTATTCAAAACACCAATGAACATGCGCAGTTAAATTATGTATTACTAAAATTAACTAAGCATCGAAGGGCTTTTTCTTATGGTTTTCCAACAAAAATAAGTAATTTTTCTTCCACAATTAAGCTTTTAAATCGAAAACTTATTTTTTATTTCAATTTGTACCTATTACTAAAATTGATGAAGCATCATTATCACCATATGGCAATTTTATACGATTCTCATGTACAAGTCATAACCTTTTCTTCATTCATTTGACATTTTAAAGCAAAACTTTTTTATTTTTATTTTCGTTGGATCTAGAACAAAAATGAATTAATTTTACTTCTCGAAATTAATGAGTATCGACACTAATATTTTTA